ATTTTTGTTGGATTTCTTCATGAAATGCCTTCTGTATTTGTTGTTAGCAGTGAGTTGTGGTAATTTCTCTCTCGGTATCTTTCGTGCTTTTAATAACGTTCAGTTATTTTTTACTAAATTGGGCCAAGAAGAATAGGTGGAGGTTATTTTTGTGAATTATTGTTGCAGTTCCTTTAATATTTCTTCTAAACAAATTTATTTTTCGGAATTGAAAGCAAAAGAAAAAAAGAAAGCGAAAGAAAAAAGCAAGTGCATTCTTTTCTATTTGTACAGTGACAAAGTTGATTTTCATTACCTCGGACGTTGGTTGCCATTTGTCGGCAGCAATTAATGTTTTGATCAAATGAAACATTAATTGTTTTGACACTTATGACACCTTATAGTTGTTCATTATTTTTGCCTTTTCCAGTTTAGCTCTTTTTTACATACTCTATTGTTTTTGTTTTCTATTTAAACGTTCTCATTATCACAAATTTGTCTTTACGTAAGTTCAACAGTTTTTGAGGTTTTCCATCTCTGTAACTTTTGTAAATCGCAGATTGCACAGTAACCTTCTTCTTGGTCTTTCTGGTCGTTGCTGTAAAGCGGAGCGGTTCTTTGCTAGCTATATTCGGATTTTAAATGCTATTTATTTTCTCGTACAGGAGTGAGAAATAATCACTGTGCGTTCGTTGTAATCGGTGACGACGTTTATTTAAGGTGAGTTGAGACACTGATACGTTGTCATTAGTACGCTCCTTACTTTAATTCTCGTATTAGCGAAAGCGTTCGGAGCGTTTCAATGATCTTTAAAATTCATCATTGCAATTTAGGAAAGTTTGGATACATGGAGCCTGCAAAATGGTAAGCATAGTTAGGAATTTGTAGTTGCTCATTATGATCTCCGCATGTGGCGTGTAAAAACTTTATCAGTTTTGCCCCCGTTTCTGTTACCGCTAATCCTTGCGTACTGTCAAAATTTTCAAGGCAACTTTGGAGAACAAGCGGCAGACAAGCAAGCGCAAAAAGTGTGCTTAGGACAGTTCCCTTACAAGAAACCATGCACCAGCAATCATTCATGTTTGATTCCCTATCAGTGCTACTTAAATGGCAGCAGTTACTTGTCGTACTACAATTCCTTTCTGATTTCGCTTTCTTGATTTGTATATTATGATATATTGCGTTATCCTAGCTTTGGAATATGGGTATAAATTTAAAGCTCGCTTTTGCTGATTTTCAGTTTAGGATGAGCTGGATGGTTTTTTTTTTTCCAGATTTTATCTGTATTTTTTTGTGGTATTTCCGAAGAAATGGTAATAAAAAGAAAGAACAAAAGAAGGAAGAAAAATGCAGGAAGAAATTTGCGTCATTTGCTTTGTCATGCATCACTTTTAATCGGCAATTTAAGGGGTGAATTGGTGTTTCTTTGGTGTTTAACTGTTTATTTTTTTCTTCATCTTATTTCTTCGATTTTGAAGAAATGCATGCTCTACCATTTCTTGTGCTTTTATTACTTTTGTCTTATAAGTTAATATGATTGGATTTTCAGCTTTTCTTTTATTTCGACAACTTTAACCTTTTTGTACGCAGGAACTTACGAGTAATTATGCTTTTCTAGGGTATAAAACTCATCTGCAACTTATTTGGTTCGATTTAGTTAACGTTCAATTTTCCTCTGCGTCTGAATAGGCGCTACTTAACGACTCTTCATTGAGAACTGCGACAATACTTGTTGGATTGGCCTTGCGGCAGGGATCTCGTTGCCCAATAATTTAAAAGCTGTGAAGTATTTTGTGGTACGCTGATCAGTTCTGAGCAAAAATCCATCTTTTTTGTCGCTCTCAGCATTATCCGGCAGTCAACTTTTACTTGCTAATATTTGTTAACTGAGCAGACTTCTATTACTTTGCGAGTATTTTTGTTGATTGTTCTTGTGAAGTGTTTATTGAGAAAAGCAAAAGAAGACGGTAATGTTAGATACAGTTGTCGCGTTTCAAAATGAGATGCTATGGACGATTATTGTCGGCTTCTTCATTGCATTCATTTTGGCATTTGCCATTGGTGCTAATGATACTGCAAACTCGTTTGGAACTAGCGTTGGCAGCAAGGTTTGAACCGGATTAATACAAATTTTATTTGTTCCTTTGAGATTATCTAGGGTGAAATTTTGTAGAAGTTTTTATAACATTAGGAACAGCAAGTATTTCAGGTCCTTACTCTGCATCAGGCATACATCTTGGCGTCATTATTTGAAACTCTCGGTGCAGCTCTTTTGGGGTATCAGGTGACAGATACGATGAGAAAAGGCGTTATTGACCTCTCTGTTTATCAAGGCCAAGAAACTGAATTAATGCTTGGCCAGATTGCCGTTCTTTCGGGTCTTTATTGTTTTGTTTTGGAAACTTTTAATTGTTCAATTTAGTAAACAGTGAATAATTTATTTGCATTTAGGTTGTGGGATTTGGCTACTGATTGCAACTTTTATGAAACTACCTGTTTCTACTACACATAGCATTGTTGGTTCAACTTTGGGATATACACTTTTGTTAAAAGGCACTCAAGGTATTCATTGGTGGCCAGTTATTCGCATCTGTGAGTTTTTTTTGTACCGTGTCGGTGAATATTTCCTCCATTTCCCCTTTCACGCATTTTTGGTCTTATGGCTTAACTTAGATTTTTTTGCTTTTAAATGGAGCTTGGTTAAACTGATATGGCCAGTAACTTTCAGTTCTCTCCTGGTTTGTATCGCCTTTGCTCTCAGGCATTGTATCAGTGATATTTTATATCGTTATCGATCATGCTGTTTTGCGCAGACGTAGTCCATTACGCTGTGGTTTAATCTTTTTACCTGTGCTGTACTTCGTTTGTGTGGCAGTGAACGTTTTTGCAATAATGTATGAAGGCTCCTCTTGTAAGGTTTTTAAAATAACATTTTTTTACACTTTTGGAAAGGTTTGGTTATTTTTGTCTTTCGCGTTCTCATAAATTTTTTCTGCTATCAGTTCAAGGACAGATTGCACAAGTTAATCAGTTACAAAGTGCAAGTCGTTTTAATGTTTATGTTTTTTTCAGTTCTTCGACTAAACTTGCTTCCGTTGTGGGCAGTTACGTCAATCACATTGGGCATTGCACTTCTAGTTGCTTTAATTGTCCAATTCTTTGTTGCTCCACGTTTAAAAGCGAGGATTCTTGGTTAGACTTCGAATTTTCCTCATTATGTTAGTAGCGTTATGGAACTTCTAGTTCGAAATTAGCTTTTGTTTTAGAAACTACTTTGGAGGATCTTCAAGTATATAGTAATAGCAGTAGTGAATTGAAGTCCGGTATTCCAAGCAGCACAGGATTGGACAAATGTGACTTCGCTTCACAGAGTAAGTAGCAAACTACCTAACGGCTTCAGCATGTGTTGATTTCTAATAGGAATTTCACATTTGCTTTAACGCTTTCCATTAATATTTTATTCAAATGCATGTTTTTTCAAAGCGTTGATGAAAATAAAATTTTTTCAAGATGCTTGATTCTAGTCGTTGGATGTAATGGGTATGCAAACTACTTAGAATCTTTAATTGATTGCTTTAACCACTAGTTTTATAACAGCGTTCTACGTCTATAATTTTGTTCGTCTGCTTGGAGTTTAGTTTATTACTCTTGCAGCAGAAGTTCTATCAAATCTGGAACCAAAACAAGAGCCTAATACAGGCGAGCACGTTTACTTCTAATAATGGCTTGTTTTGCACTTGTTTAGTTGGCTTCTTATTTGGACACCTTAGTGCTATCCTCTTTTGCGTGGCATAGCAATGGAAAAGCTTTTTCATTTATGCTTCCAATAAGTTTTTTTTACTGATTATGCTGCCATTAGTAGATGCTGTAGGATGTGTATTTTTAGATGGGTCATTTTAGGCACGAGGGCCTTATTGCAGTATGAAAATGGCCGTCAGAGTTCTCCGGAATCTTTAGTTGGTGTGAAGGATGGTTTTAAAACGTCAAATGGCCTACCAAACTATGGAAACACTTTCACTCAGTTATCAGGTGTACATCTTGGTCATCATACCATTCGCCCTACTGGAAGTATTGAAGCGTTCTTTCGTTCTTCGAAACCAGAAGATCCTCAGGCCTCAAAATTGTTCAGCTTCCTTCAAGTGCTGACTGCATGTTTTGGTGGTTTTGCGCATGGTGGAAATGATGTCAGGTGAGAGCCGGTTGTCTTTATTTTCTTGCTGTTTTAGGCGTTATCGCATTGAAGAAACATTTCTTTGAATTCTTCATGTTCATTTCATAACAACAGATTTACAGTAACGCAATTGCTCCATTAGTGTCTCTTTACGTCATTTTCAAAGAGCACTCGGTTATGCAGTCGTCGGAAACTCCAATTTGGCTTCTCATTTACGGAGCAGCTGGTATGTGTGTTGGTTTGTGGTTATTGGGTCATCGTGTAATCTACACTGTTGGAGAAAACCTTACCAAAATCACGCCACCTCGGTAAAGGTTTCATTTACAGTTCACCTTTGTGGTAATTTCTCATTAAGATTGTATTTGAAGGATACTTAGCTTTTTTAATTAGTGTTTTTATTATTATTTTTGAAGATTTTTTTAGGGGTTTTGCGATTGAATTTGGAGCTGCAGTCACCGTTCTTCTTTCAAGTAAACTTGGGCTTCCGGTCAGCTCAACTCAATGCAAAGTGATTTTCAGCTGTAGATGTTTCCCATATTTTGCTCGATTTTTTTTTTACACTGACTAAGTCACCTGTTTTTAGGTTGGTAGCGTTGTTTCTGTCGGCATGGTTCAAGCAGCTGGAGGCGGGAACGTAAAATGGTCTACCTTCAGGAACATAGCTATTTCTTGGGTCATCACTCTTCCTGTCACGGGTGACCGCTTTTTTTGTTTACTAAAGACTAAAACATGTATCTTGTTGATAAATTCTTTCACTTAAGGCTGTGATTAGCCAGTTTTTTTTACAAAGGAAGGCTGTATTGTTCTTTACTGTTACTTTCTTGTATTCTTTTAGGTTTTCTCAGCGCGATTACAGTTTACCTCCTCCGCTTGATCCTGGTACATTAGCTCATTCTATGGGTCCCTTACCCAACTCGTTCTTTGTTTCGAAAAGCAAGTCTGTTTAGCGTTTAATCCATGCAATACGTACTTTGAAGCTATTATTGTTTTTATGTTTGCTGCAAGTTTTTAGCTTTTTTAACGTCGGTATTATAGAGCTTTAAGAAATATCCTAATTTATTCAGTGAGGGTGAAATAGTCTTCATATTAATCATTGCTGCACCACTATTTTAATTTCACGGCTATTGGCAAGTAGTGCAGAGGCTGTTAGTGTTCAGCAGCGATATTTTAATGAACAAATTCATATCTTTCGTTTTCATCCTTACGTTTCTAGGCATTATTACAGAAAAAGCATTTATTTGGTGTTTCTGTAGCAAACCAATTTTGTGACTTGCAGTAATAACTTATCAAAAGATAGACGTTAAAATTTTGCTTGGTGTCTGTTTTATTTCTGTTTTATTTTTAACTGATCAGAAAATGGCAATTGCTTTTCGAATTTTGTTGCACTGTATTGCTGCAAGTCTCAATGTGGGAACGAGGCAACAAGAGATTATACTATTTTGTCGTTATTAATAAAGAAAGAGGAGGTTAAGGTTTTTTTAGACATCATTTTTTTTTACCGGTTAGTCAAAGATTTATATCTGCTGTTAAAAACTGTTGTTTTAAGAGTGTCTAATAAAGCCAGTTTGAAAACGGATAAATTTTTTTGTTCACTGCAAAAAAGGATATCTCATGTTGCTACCATTGCTAGATTTTTGGTCGATGGTGGTGTAGTTGTTCTCTTTTCTTTTTTCCCCTTTTTATTTGTTGTTGTAATATATATACCGTATCGTTATGCTCAAAGTTCATTGTTCGAAAACGGTGTGATCAATCTAGCAGTACTTTTTCATGTCCTTCACGTGTATGAGACAATGTCGTTTTGTGGATGTTCAAGTTGTTTGTAAAATAGTAATTGACTCCGTCAGTCGTATTTGTTTTTGGTATACATTATTCTGAAAATCTGATTTTTGTTCTTTTGGTGATTAACAGAGCCTTTTGATTTTGTTTATAAAGCAAAATGGCTTTTTAGTCACCAGAAATAAAATTTGGAAATGCAGAATGATTCCACTGGACAGCACATTTCAACGCTTTGAGTGTGATTAACTAGTTTTTGACTGTATTTTGCATTACTCCACACGTCGGTAGTCAGTGTTTACCCACTACAAATCCAGCATCCAGACTTTGGAAGTTAAGCGATTTTGGTTTGCAGCTAATGGCGGTTTCGTAATCCGTGGATGCAATTCAACACTCTGCTGGACAGTGGTCGTTTTTTTTTTTTTTTTTTTTTTTTTTTTTTTTTT